ATCAGTGCATGTTATCATTACTTAGAGATCATTGTTAATTTTTTTTATCTGTATTATTTTAAATTTTACAGGTGTCTACAAAGGGACTCAATCTAATTACTATGTATATTTTCAAAAATTCTGCAATTAGTGTGGCAACAATATTCCGAAAATAGATTAGTACTAAGTATCTCCAGCTTTGTACATAACCACTTCTAAACTCACAATAACGGGGTCTCATGCACTCAGTTACTCGATTACTTTTTCTAATTAGATAATGATCGACCAGATCCTTTCTTATACTGAAAGTATTTTCTATCAGGACATTTCTGTTTAAACCATTGAAACTAAAAATTTTAGGACAAGCATATATCTGGTAGAGGGCTAAGAACTTACTGCACATGTCATGTTGTGAAAATGTAGTAACAGCTGATGTCTGAGACTTGCCATCTCCATATTGAACTTGTTGACGTTCTTTATCGCCACTGACCCATGTCAATCTCATCTGCAAATATCATCGGCAACGTTCAAGTTTTTACTTGGCACAATCGAAGGAATTGTAGCGAGGAGAGATCAGATCATGATCATTGATTTTTGAAAAAACAAACTGTTATTCAGCTAGGCGGGCATAGGAGGGGTCTAGGAACAGTGTCCCCTCAAAATCATATTAGCATGGTGCTACATATATAGTGGACTTCACTTTAATTCATAACAGGTTATCTTATCATTGAGAAAAAATGTATTAGAGAAGATCTAAATCCGAGCCGACCATATAGAGTCATTACTTGTATCTCTTGACAGGAATTATAATAGAGAAAGTTGCTAATTACCGATGTTCCGGTTGAATCAATGCTTGAGAGATGTCCATACAATGGCATTTTCGGAGTGTTAAAACTCAATGCGTTAGATCTCTTCAAAATGCAAGGCGTCTCGAATCCACCGGCGAAGAACACAAACTCAATGTCTGTTCTGAAGTTGATGACATGAAATTTTAAGGAGGCACTGCAGGTGGTTAAAACACACACACCATTTCTATATTTCTTGCATTCCTTCTTCTTGCAACTCAGGTAATCTGGATCATTGCTTACATACTGCGCCTGAAATAGCAAAATTTTTTTAAGTTCCAAGTTCCAATTTTTAACGAGGGGCGGGTTTTGACGCAACAATAAGCTTGCTCTATTATGATTTAGTGGTCACGAGTTTGAATTACGAAAATAATCTTTTTACTTGCAGGGATAAGAATGCATACATTTAACTCTTTTTAAACTCCGTAATGACCGAGTCTCGTGCATTAGGTACATTCTTTTAAATTTCAATTTTAAATCGCTAATTTCATGCGATTTCTTTATAGGCAACATAAAGAAAATGACATCCGATTCAATATATGTGCAACAAATTATTATTATTATTTTTTTTATGGGGTTTACACATGATGAGAATTGTTGTTATAGCAAATTACACTTTGCATTCCTAAACTATGGCCGGACAAAATATATCTACATGTCAATAGCAATTTTGTCAGCGTTGTATTCAATACTGTCTGTCCCAAGTTAAAATAAAAGAGGAGGGTTGCGTTAGGTAGTCAACAACCAACATAAAACTTTGTCGGATCCACTATAATGAGTCCAAACAATAATATAAGCACTAAGTGCATGAATGAAAGAAATAGCAAAAGCGGACTCATATAGCTGACCTTAAATGATTAAGACATAAAGTTTGGTTTGGTATTAGACTTTGGGACGAAATAAGAAATATCACATAGTACAGGGCTGAATTACATAAATTTCTATACTATACGTAATTGACGCCTACAATAGGGGTAGTGCACAACTAAGGACAGAAACATAACAATTGAGAGGTTAATGTGAGATATTAGATATAGTTGAGGGGTCAAAATATAATTTATACTATGCTTAATGCCCTTAGAATAAAAATATTAAAAACAGTTATGAATGTACGTTCTCCATAGTGTTTTACCCCTGAAAATTGATTGCGTGGAAAGGAAATAATACTACCATACATGGGGGCACTCAAAAGAACGGTTAGACCAAGGGGACCATCCCCAACTGGCAATGGCAGTCGACGGGGCCCGGGGTAGCCTCCATCTTTGTATTTAGGGGCGGAGTCAGTAATAACTATTGGAAGGGGGGACAAAATATAATTGATACAAAAAAATATTTAGTTGAAATTGATATAAAAAAATTCAGTTCAAAAAAGACAAAATAGTAAGAATGAAGACAAAATTATTGTCAAATAGTAAATTCATTTTTTATTTAATATAAGCAAAATTCTAACAAAAAGACACATAATAATTTTTTTTGTACATTTTAACCTAATTATATATTTTAATAAAATATTAAAAATTTTAAAATCTCCAAAATTTTGTATATGAATTAAATGTAAATTAATTTTTCACTAATTTTTTATTTATGCACACAATCACAAGTTCGTAGTAAAATTATTCTTTATTTCGTTGCAAAATTTAGTTGAGATTATTATCGATCTTATAGAGAAATTTCTTATTCGAAATTGTTTGAAATATTTTTAAGTTATAAATTTTTGTCTTTTGTATATAAACGTATTTTATTAAATTATAGACTACTATTGCTTAAAAAATGGTAAATGAAAATTAAAAATTATTCTTAAAAAATAATGAACATTGTGTTAGATAAAGAAAAATATTGTATTTTCTTTAATATACAAATAGATCAAGATAGTTACATTTGATTGACTAAATTCAAAACTAACATATTTATTTTAGAGGTTTAATGGACCACTAATTTATTGAAAAAAAAAGACTAGAACCATATTGAAATTTCAAAAAATTTAAGGTGGGCAATATAATTTACAAAATAGTTTTATGGTCCTCATATAAGGTGATCCAAAAGTGAGTGCCCACCCTGATCCTCATGTGGCTTCGCCCATGTTTGAACCCACTTAAAAAAAGTCCATCCACCACTAATGAGTGGGATAAATTTTAATCATTCTCCCTGTATTGCATATAAATTTTGATCCTTCCTCCCTCTGAATTAATTTATGTGATTTTATAATAAAAATTTGAAAAAAAGAATCATAATATTTAAAATATAAGTTATATCACCGCATACATGTATCACATGATATGATCAAAACTAAAAACAAAGATATAATTTAACAATATAATCTTTGCATAATTGAACAAAAACAACAATAATAATAAGGGAAATACTATGTAATCCAAATTTGTAACTCAAATTTATATCCCAAATGAATAGGGATCATTGGATGAGTAGGTCTATCAATTTTTTTAAATGAGACTCACTGATCCAATAGTCTCATTTTATTTGAGATGCAAATTTGAATTGTAGATTTGAGTTATACAACATTGCTCTAATAATAAAGTTGGGATTAAATTTTTTAGAAGCAAGCCTGTAAACAATTGTTTACAGGCAGCCAATCAAAATTGAGGAGGACAAACACATATATCAATGTTGTGGATTCTCAATGAGTTTGTGTAGCTCATAAATTCTGATTGGTTGCTTCTAAAGAATATATTCTTAATAAAGATATATATATATATATATATATATGTTTTAGTTGGTGCTCATGTACGTTGTACGTGGACTATTTTGAATTATAATTTTAGTATTTTTTTAATTTTTACTTGCATTATCTCTATATTTTTAGTTTTATGTATACATAAAATAAGTGTGAAGTTAGAAAGTAAAAGAGACAAAATGTAAAAGAAAGGTATCAGGTCGTTGATTTGATTACTTATTAGTTGTTTATAAAATTTATATTTCAAATATTTTACTTTTACCATGGTGTGAGCAACACTTAGAAGAATTCTTATCAAGAAATATTGACTTTGGATTGAAAAAAATTACAATCTTACAATAAATATTTGGCAATTGAAGACTAAAAAATGAATTAAAACTCGATAAAAATGAATAAAAATATAATTAATAAGTAGAATTTGTTTATAGTTGCAAAAATTAATTTCATGTTCCAAGACCATGGCAAATTAAAATTTTAAATTAAAATTGAGAAGTAAATAAATAAAAGAAATTGAATCTAAATAGTGAATAAGACAAATCACATTCTCTTAAAGTCCTAGATTACACTCAGATTAAATCATCAAAGCAATAGTTGATAGTAATGATAAAAAAAAAAAAGAATCATATAAACAACCAAGAATTATTGCACTTTGAGCTCATCATTTTCAATATCTTTTATAGTCTTACTTTCATAAGATTTTATTGCAACTTGCAAAGAAAAAAAAATAAAAACAAAACACATAAATGGAGGGAGGTATGAAAGTTGTAGAGAAGAATAAAAATATCAGTCACTTCTATTATATAAAGAGAGAAAATTTTTCTACTTGTGGTAAGTGAGAATTTGGAAGGAGAGCATGTTATTCTTATATTGTTTTTTAATTTTTTCTAGTGTTACGAATATAAAAGGTCTTCTTATATATAATGTTATGTATTCATTGCACTTATAATCACAAATATTTATTCTTAGAAAGGAAAGGGTGTAAGAGTTAAAGTGGTAAGTAAGATATAATTGTCTTTATATAATTAAGAAGGGGTAGAATAGAAAATCAAAAATTTTTTCTCATTAGCTTCCTTTTATTAGTAGTAGTAGTACTATATAGATATACTAGCGATACCCTGCGACTAAAGTCACTAAATATTAAATTATGACACTATGAGTGTATTGGAGTATGTGTGTACAACTAGAGTGTATATATAATGTGTGTGTGTATATGTGTAGTGAGTGTGTACTGTAGTATGTATAACTATGTGTTTGTGAAATATTTGTGTTGGATTTGTAAAATTTGGGAGGGAAAGTATGTGAAATTTGGGGGAAAAAATATATCCTCCATAAGTTCAAACACCTAGCTATCTTATTATATAGATATATGCATGTCACTCTTGGCTTCTTGATTCTCTTGAATTAGGGTCCGTATGAATATTTCTGTATACGTCCACTATCCAATATGTACAGTACATTATCGATCCAAATAAAACAAATTTAGACGAATTCCTGTTTTTTTCAGTCCACTGCCATCTGTTCCCCGAACCCACTTAAGTTTTTGATATTACATTTTGGCCTTAAATTAACTTCCCTTCCCCTATTTTCCCTTCGTAAAATATGGATCTTTTCGATATGTGCACGTCAATTCTATATTCTGTATAGTTTCACCCTCAGTTTCCCCTCACCTCCCCTTTGTCTCAAATTTTTGGCTTAACCCCCAGATGCCCATGTGCGCATAAATACTAGTTTTTAAGGGATGTGTTGGGATTGAAGTTTGTTAGGCCAATCGAAACACGAAACACAAAAGTTTTGTCGGTTTCTATGATTATCTGAAACCACCAACTCATACAAAAGTTGAACTGCTAGAGATATTGTAACATACGTATTTATATATTTTAATCCACCCCGCATTTGCAAGTTATGTTTTGGGCTAAGCACCGGCAGTCTTCTATAATTATCATGGGCGGTGAGTTTGGAATAAAGAAACTCGTATTTTGATATTGGACTAAACTACCACCTCATCTAAAAGTTTAAACTGTTATAAAAAGTGTAAAGTATAATATTACTATTCTTCAACCGATTATACTATAGGGTGTCATATCATCATTCTCATTTCAGTAAAAAAATTGGAAAATTTGATATCGCAATTCCCCAATAAAACTATTATATTAATGTCTTTTTTTTCTTTTTAATAAGCAGAATAAAACATTTAAATCACAAAACCCAATTGCTACAAGTTTCATGTTTGTTTTAGGCTATCTTTCCTATACTTCCAAAGTATATCTTTAACGTCAAGTAATCCAAAACCAAAGTAGTATTTTTTTTAAGGGTTAATTGTAAATTACATCTCGAATATCGTTCGAATCTTAATTTACACCCTCAAAGATAAAAAATCTCAATTTACACCCTCAAAGATAAAAATTTATATCAATGTGCATCCCCAAAGATTAAACATCTCAATTTATACTCTCAAAGATAAAAATTTGTATCAATGTACACTCCCAAAAATAAAAAATCTTAATTTGCACCCTCAAAGATAGAAATTTGTATAATATTTTTTATATCCAATGTAATATATCACTTAAACATAATTATTTGAATGCCCAATTGGGAGGACATTTTAGATTGAGAGTATTTTTATTAGGATTTTATAACCGTTAAAAAATATGATTTTATCCTAATAAAAAATTATAATTTCATATTACCTTTTATTTTGTAAATGGGTCCAAATGATTAAGTGACAAGCATGAGGGGATCTAGGTATAATTTATGAATTTAGTTTCAGGCAGCAAATTAACGGCAGTTACTTTAGGTGCACATTGATATAAATTTTTATCTTTAAGGGTATAAATTGAGATTTTTGATTTTTAGGGGTGTACATTGATATAATTTTTTATTTTTGAGAGTATATATTGAGATTTTTGATATTTAAAGATAAAAATTAAAATTCGAACGAACTTTCGAAATGCAATTTACAATTAACTCTTTTTTTAATGTAACTTCTGGTTATTTTCTTTTCCTCAAATTCTCATAAAAATAACTGAACTAGCTGAAGGAATAAGGAGCGGTTGTATGTGTCCATACACAGACACACAGACACACAAGTACGCATATACGATACTTTGTTTGTTTAACAAGTATTTACCTTTACAGGATAATGGCAGAGAAGAGGAAGTTTGCTAAAATCTCCAGTCTGCTGATATTGAATACCATTAAAAGGACAACTTGAAACCCTGCATGTTTGAAACAAAGAAAAGAAAAACAAAATCAAAATAAAGGTAGACACTACCCGTGAACCAGACATAAAATTAGCATAGAATTAATGAGTTTGTATTTAACCTTATCGACTTTGATTGGTAAGCAGATGAAATTGACAGATACTCAATTAATGGGTTCACATGAACACAGATAAATATGAAATGAACTATATGAAATCGACACAATCCGCATTGAACTATAGATGATCATATATGAGATGTGTACGAGTTGAACAAGTTTTGATACAACAGATATCTCATAACACATGCAAAAGAAACACAAGAACAAGTTCTCCTATGGATGTTGCACTGTTCTTACTCAGAATGAGCAGGTGTGATCATGGCAACCCAATCACTATCGGCAGGAACCAAGACTCCGCTCAGAGTAACAGAGACATATTCTTCGTCGGAGAGGCCAGATTTGGAGCTGACGTTGATTTGGAGATAAGGGTTTGGATCAGGACAATCACCCAAAGCCTTTCTGTTCAGTATCCGAAACTCCGATATCGCGGTGTGGTTCTGAAACTCAGCTGTAGAGTTCATAGTAATAGTAGGCATACGAGAAGAATCCGAAGAAGCAAACCCCAGAAAGCAAATGAAAAAGGTGATGAAGATTCTGAATAGCCATGAAGAAATTGAAGGTTCCATGAGAGCAGGAGTAAACGTGTGCACAAGAAAATGAAAATAAGCTTTTGCTAGGGGGCTTTTATATTATCTAGAGACACATCATGATGCGTCATTATATATATAAGAAAATTACACTTTGTACCCTCAACTATGCCTCTGGTTTCACTTGACCCCTTTAATTATTGAGTTTCTCGCTTTGTTATTTCAATTACTTGAATTAGTTTTTACATTGTCCCAAATTTGAATAGCCGTCATGCTGTCGATTGAAAATCCCTACAACGTGGTAAAACACACGTTTTCCATATCTAAATTTGGTCCAATGTGAAATCAGTAAATGTAATTAAAAATGCAACATGAGAAACACGATAGTTTAGGGGGCATATCGTGAGATAAGAGTACAATTGAGGGGTCAAATTATTACTATATATATATATATATATATATATTTATGTCCTGTGTGTGTGTATATATATATTTTGGAAAAATCTATGGAGGTTTCGGCAATTGATGGCAGGAAGTAGTGTGTGGACAAGAAGATGGGTTTGAAACCGATTTTATGGGAGGAACAGCACAAGTTAGGCGACTATTACGTGGAAGGAAAGTTTAATGTATATGACGTACCTTGTTGGCTATGTTGATACTACTTAGGTTGTTATAACTGTCACTTTTGTCTTCAATTTTATTAGGGCAAGGTAGAATAATGGTCCATAAAGAATATGCTTCATCTCTTTCGTCCTCGTTCTTATAGTTATGTTATATTATAGTCTTCAAAGATATTAATTTTCATACCCAACGATGACGGAGATTTAGATTGTTAATTCTAATTGTTGGTGTGTACATTTGGTCTTTAAAATATGCGCGAAATGCCACGCTTTAGTCCTTTAAATAAAAGTTTTATTAATTAAAATTTCAATTTTATGTTTAAAGTTTCCCTCAGGATTGCTAACAAATTTCATGTGCACAAAAAATGCCAAGTACTTTCGTAATTGATTAGGATTATTTAAACCCAAATTACAATTTTTAGGAAGGTGCTTGAAGAAATATTGACAATTAACGGACCAATACGATATTTCTTGGATATTTTACTGACCAAAAGTATATTTACTCATATGTCACATGATATTTTATGATATCAAGTTAAACTCCTATCATTGATCGGACCATTCAATACAAGATATATTGAAAATTTTAAGGGGAGTGGGGGATTAAATAAGTAATTATATTGGAATAACAAATATTATTGTTGAGTTTCTTTTTTTTGGCAAGAACAATGAGTAACTGTCAAGAGAGTGGCTAGATATAGACTGCCTAAGAATGAGTATTTGCGCTTTAATTGAAATAGAGACGGAGCTTTTCATAAAGAGTTAGAAAGCGTCAATTTTCATAGCGAGACTTAGGCCAACGAGGCCCCCCAATTCTCAACCCAGACCTACACACTAGTGGTTTTAAAACACACATTTTGAAAAGTTATGTGAGATTCTTAGTATAAATGGATGACCTTTTTTTCTTTTACTCTTTGTAAATTTTAGAGGGAAACGTAACTGTGCGTTCAAGATCCTGCACAATATAAAAAACGAGAACATATCACTCCCTTGATGAACTCGAGTGAGCAGGTTGAGTGACCAAACGCGCTGCTTGGAACGGCCTGTCAGGCACGGTGGTAACCTGGAACGGCAATGAGAAGTCCTGGGAACGGAAGAACGATCCAGTAAGGCTGAGAGAGGTTCCTGGAACAAAGAAGAACAAGTTAGAAAGGAGCCGGAGTGTTTTTCGGCGTATCCCCTCCGACGATCTAGTCAGTCTTTGAGAAAGAGAGAGGAAGGAGAAAACACTGAGAATATTGTGTGTATTGTAGTAGAGAGTTTGTTGTTGCATACCCGCTTTGCCTTTTGCAAGGGGTATTTATACCTTAAAAGCTCATGATTGCTGTCAGTGTGGTCAGTAGGTGATCATTAGGCACAGGTAGCGTGTGCATTGATTCTGATGAGGAATGTCTTCTCTAATTAACTGCTCGGAGTCCCGAGCAATCAATGCTGGGTCGTCGGGATGCCGACGGTACAATGTGCTCCTCTCGGGAAGGATGCAATAAATGCTCTGTAATAGGAGCATTTATTGCCTTTCATTTCCGAGCTTTACCGCATTGAATGCGGTCTCATCAAGGGAATGGTGCAATTAATTGTTTGCTTTCCCAAGTCGTGTGTCAGCAACGGCATGCGGTTTGTCTGTCTCTGATGTGATATCATATGCCACGCGTCCATCCCCTATTAGCTGTGACCTCTGTATTCCAGTACGTTCTGACATTACTTGTGTAAGACGAGGTCATGATGAATAGCCTAGACTAGCCTAGGCTAATGACCTGTACGTCAATAGCTTATCCTGGAGTAGAGGAAGCGTCCAGGACGGGGTACCTCTTGGCACCGAGGAAAGGCTCATCTCGGGGACCGAGGGAGGTATGCCGACCGAGGTACATATCTGACCGAGGACACGTGTCGGTTGTAAAATATACTGAATGTATGATCCTATATGACGGTACCTCGGGGGTGAGGACATTCGTGCGCCGATGGTGCTTGATCTTAGCAACATTGTTTTAGTAAAACCGAGGAGACGTGTCTTCATCATAGAGTATTTCAGAAAAGTCCCATCAATAACCTATCTATACATAAAAAGCAATCCCTTTCTTGGAAGGGTTGGAAAACCATCACTCCCAGTTTCTTAATTTTTTATGATTTTAATTTACTTACACTATTGGTCTCTTCCATCAATTTTACAGCCGATCCCAAATAATTTTATTTTATTATAATTTTACCAAATTAAATTAGAATCTTGCCCTCGTATTTTAGTACTTTCAATACATTACCTATCCTTACCTCTATTTTTTTTAGTCAACAATCACGAGTGTCCGAATCAATTTATGTATACTTCGAATATTATATTTTTCTTAAGGATTTTCAACCACAATTCTTTGCAACAGGTGTGACTTGTAGTGGGCTAAGCCTAACAACATTTTCTGGCATTGTACCCAACAATTTACATTTTAGCATGGACAACGACAGAAAACTCAATTAGATAAATGGTGAATATTTTGATTTATGGGTCAAAATTCATAGAAATTTTTTATACTCTCCCCGGATATTAATCAAGCAAAAAGGCTGGGTCAATAGATTACTAGTTTAACTCAATCAGTCTAATTGATCATTCTATAAAACGTAATAATCATTACAACAATAGTATACTTTATGTTGAGTTCATCAAATAAAAAGACATAAAGAAAACATTAAATGTGTTCATAATGTATTCAAAATATTTATGGAGGTAAACTTCAAATTTTCAATTTTAATCTTTTTCATGAGTTAACCGGAAAATTATTCATATTATTCATATTGCACTGTGCCTTCAGACACAGATTATCACTAGTGATCTAATAACACTGTACAGAAGCTAAATTGTGACTCGTATTGAATTTGTAGGGTAATTTCACTTGCACCCTTTTTTTGGGGCGATATCTGCAGCAAGAATTCCTATATGTGACAACATACGAACCCTAAAAGGACTAGCTCTGTGGTCCAAAACTAACACACCACAGCCAGGGGTGGATCCAGGTTTCTCAGTTAGGGGGGGCACAATACAGTTAAAAAAAATCCAATTGATACAATAAAAATTTATTAAATAGAAGAACCGTGATGTCGTTGGTCACTGTAATATTTTGCATACGTCTTACTCGATTCAATAATAACAATTGGATTTAGAGGCTCAATGGACTACTAAATAATTAAAAATAAAAAATTTATAGCCACTATAGAATGTTTTAAAAAATTAGAGGGGTCAAACTCTTAAAAAGAATAAAATCATGGTTCTAAACTATAGTAAGGAGTTTTAAAAAAGCCAGGATGGGCAAGTGTCCACTCTTGTCCAAAAGTCGGGGTGGGCAACTGTCCACCCTTGTCCAAAGGTGGCTCCGCCCCTAAATACAAGTTTGTTTAGGTGGAATATTTCTAAATATTAAGAAATGCACGATGTGCTAGCATTGTGAATATATTTAAATAATATTTTTTTAAAAAATTATTATATTTTTAATTAAATTGAATAATAAATTATATGCCAAATAATTAATTTTTATTTTGATTACTGTTAAATCGAATTATTGATCTATTCTACCCCTCTTTAAGTACTTAATTTTTCATTTTTTAACATGTACCCGACACCTTAGACACTTACTCTTTTGTTTATGATAGAACTTCATTGTAAGATTGTAATTCTTGAGTATTTGCATATCTAATAATATTATAAATTTATTACATTTATTTTTTTGGTAAAGAGATTGATTAAAAATTGTAATACTATGGTTTGTATTATAATATTACGATATTGTTGCATACAAAATATATATATATATAATATTTAATTTTAGAATCCAATCTGACAATTACATGTAAATAGTAATAGAATATAAATCAGACTTTACTTTTTCATATCAATATAAACTTTATGATAGAAAATTAAATGTAAGTGTATTATTAATAAATGAATCCAAAAAGAATTTGGAAGTCAAATAATAATAATAAAAGAGTTTAAAAGAACTTAAAAGACAAATATGTATAGAAAATAAAAAATTGGATGAAAGTAAATATATTATTATAATTGACCTTATAATAATAATTAGGGAAAAAATATGAATTAAATTTTTTTCACAGATAGTAATGAATTAACTAGGCCTAACTTAGTTGAGGCCTCTAAGCTTTATTAAGATTCTGCCAACAAAGAAGTCAATGATTGTTATGCAAGGGTTGATTTTATTATGTGATAATTATCTACCGAGCTATATATATCTCTGTAAAAAAAGAATCGAATTATGATCCAAATTCAATCCGAAACAACATCCATTTAATCATAATGGATTAGTATTTTTTTTTTCATAGACGGGTTGAACTTGAATCAATTGTATTATTTTGCGGAAAGTTGAATATAATATATAACACCTAATTCGATTGTGATTTTGATTCAAATTATAAGTTTAAATATTT